CAGAACAGGGTATGTAATTTGCAGGGTGCCCTTCTAAATGGAAGAAGCTCCTGTGGCTTAGTGCCTAAGGCTTTCGATTGCTAACCAGAAGGTTGGGGGTTCAAACTCATCAGCCACACTGTGGAGGGAAGATGAGGCAATTTACTTCCATAAAGATTTGTTGTTGTTGTTGTTGTTATGTGCCATCGAGTCAGCCCTGACTCATAGCGACCCCTCCTTGGGTTTCCGAGGCAGTATCACTACGGAAGTAGGATTGCCCAACCTTCCTTCTGAGGAGTGGCTGGTGGGTTTGAACCGCCAGCCGTCTGGTGAGCAGGCAAGTGTCTTAGCCACTATGCTACCAGAGCTCCCCCATAAAGATTTACTGCCTTAGAAACCCAATGGGGATCACTGTAAGTTGTAGATGGCAGTGGGTGTTTTTTTGTTTTTGTTTTTGTTTTTGTTTTTGGTTCTTCTAAATGGTGAGTTCCTATTTTATGGCCCTGAGTTCCTGGAAACCTCAAGCTTATAGTGGGACAAGTGAGACAAGCACAAAAGTACAAAGAGGTATGTATACCAGGGAAGGGTCTTTCTTTGACTCTGTCCGCAGCCTCCCAATTCCCATTCAGATTTACCTCTAAGTTAATTGCTCTATTGTACCTGGCCTCACTGTACATGGTAGTAGAAATGATAAATAAATACATAATACTTGTTTTCCATATTCTGAATATGTAAATATATAGATTATATTCAAAATCCTCACAGGTTCCCCATTCATATATAATTCTAGATATTAATAAAATAAAAAACATTTTGTCTTCAAGTGGATTCTGAATCATGATGATCCCACGTGTAGAACTTCTCCACAGAATTTTCTTGTCTGTAACCTTTATAGGAGATCACCAGGCCTTTCATTTGCAGTGCAACTGGGTGGTTTCAAACAGCCTTTAGGTTAGAAGACAAGTGAGAACCATTTGTGCCACCCAGGGACCTCCAAATAGGAACAGACAAATACTAAAAGCAGCTTTTTTTTCTTTTGAGATTGTTTGGATAAGTACCATCTCTCCTTTTCAATAAGTAGTGTCTTAAAGGAAGGAAAGAGAAAGCGATTTCATGCCAGGCACAGGTAGGGACTGGACTGAGATGGGAGCCAGCAAGGTGTCTGATTAAAGGTGCATCAGATCTTTGCTGGTCTCCTGGGAAGCCGGGAGTTCTTCCGGTTCTTCTCAGTGCTGCATTCTGCTCCTGAGGCTGCCAGGGAGAATAATTACCTAAAGACCTATGGTTGGTAGTACCGTTCAAGCCAGAGCTTTGATCTCTCATTCTAGCCTTTTCCAAGACCCAACCCCAGCTCACTTCTGTCCAAACCCTTCTTCAAAGCCTGCTGGGCTAGGTCAATACAGATGCTGGGAACAGGAAGAGACCCCAGCATGCTCAGCTTCACACATTGTAAACCACACAAAGACCCCAAACTTCCGGGATTTCTCTCTTTTTTCCCCTCTGCACACAACTTCACAGAGAACCTCCAGTATATGTTAACTTATTTTTAAATAGAATACATGATCATTTGCAAAGACTTTTAAGACCACAGAGTCCATTTAGCACAGTCCTCTACTTTCCCAGATAACCAGTACCAGCTGCTGACAATTCAACTCTGACACATGAGGACCCCATGTGTGTCAACCTGCTCCACAGGGTTTTTGAGGCTAATTTTTTGGAAGCAGATCACCAGACCTTTCTTCTGGAGAGCCTCTCGGTGGACTCAAACCTCTAGCTTTTCAGTTAGCAGCCCAGCTCAATAACTAGTTGCTTCATCCAGAGACTTGAGTTTTCTAGATGGAGAAATGGAATCAAGATAAAAAGCTTCAATATCTAAAGTCACACTGTCAGAACTAGGATTCATGGTCTTCAACCTTCAGTCCACTCTTTGGATTTGCTCCTACAATGTTGTTCCTGTGTTTTCATGAAGGTATGCTAAGCTGGTCCTGGGTAGAGATTGAGCGGTTTTACACCAGAGAATTCTCCCTACAAACACACACACACCGTGGTTATCTGAAGTGAGAGAGATAGGGACAGCAGTTTCTTCAAGACATCTTTTTTTTTTTTTTTTTTAATAGCTTCTCCCAGACTCCTAAATCATTGCCATCAGAACTAACCAACCTGCCTCCAATAGATGTGTGTGGGTGTAGGGAGAATTCTTGGTTTCCCAAGGGGTGTGTGTGTGTGTGTGTGTGTGTGTGTGAGAGAGAGAGAGAGAGATAAGACATGAGAAAAGACAATCAATCTCAGAGCTAAACTCCAGCAGGAGGTGGGGCCAAGGTTACTCTCCTTACCTTGGGGAGTAAAGGTGACAACTGAAACATCATTACTCACCCTCAATAGGGCATCTTTGCTAAGAACAGGTAGCTAAGAAACTCAGGACTCCTTTATAAACCTCTCTTACCAAAAGGTAACAGATAGGATGGAGAAATAGGACTGGATACAGCAAAAGGCTAGAGGACAGTGGAGTAGGATGGGAACTTTGTGGCCCCTGGAGTCAGACCTGAGTCCCAGTTCCAATTCTGAAGCTTAACTCTCTGCTGGGGATGAAAGCTTCCATTTGCTGAACCCAAACTTTATTAAATGAAGATGGTAAACTCATTCTTCTAGTGTTATCTTAATAGTGAAGATTAAGGAAGATAAAACAAAACAAAACAAAACCCAAACCAAACTCATGTCATTCAGTCAATCCAACTCACAGAGACCCCTCCTCGAGTTTTTGAGGATCTCTACGGAAGCAGATTTCCCAATCTTCCTTCTGAGGAGTGGCTAATGGTTTGAACTGGCAGCCTTCTGGTTAGCAGTCAAATGCCTCAGGCACTATGCCACCAGAGCTCCCAGTTAGCCACTGCTATTATCTTTCAAACTCATACCATGTATCTCAAAACTATCCTGTGTTTAGTTAAGAAATAACCCTCACAACAGAATCATTATAATCAACTCTCAACTAGGGAAAAAGGCTTTTGAAGAAAACCTACAAGGTGCCTATATTTACTTTAAAAAGTTTCTCTTAAAATTAACCTGAGCTGTTAATTTTAAAGTTTACCTAGCATTGACTTTTCTTCTCCCTTCAACCCATTGCCCCTCCCCAATACCCCCTGCTTGTCCTCTTTATTCAGCTGTCACCCACATAGGAAACCATGGCTTTGTGACACTTGAAACTCTTTCTCTCATTCTCAACACGAACCTGTTTGGGGAAGATAAGTGAGTCTAATAGTACTATTGACAATGCCTCAGCAACTCACAGGTCTCCCCACCCCCCATCAAAAAGCACTGTGAAGTGCTTTTACTGCAAGTATTTGAAGTGTGTGTATGGGTTGTTTTTCAGTGCCGCTGAGTCAGTTCCAACTCATGGCCGCCACCACAGAAGGAAATACTGCCTGGTCTGGAGCCATCCTCACAATTCTTGCCATGTTTGAGCCCATTGTTGCGCTACTGTGTCAGTCCATCTCGTTGAGGATCTTACTCTTTTACACCAACTCCACTTTACCAAACAGGATGTTCTTCTCCAGGAAGTGGTGCTTCCTGATCACATGAAAGGGGGTGAAATCTGGACTCACTCCACTACCTCCTTCAGTCTTTAGTCCTAACTTTCCAGATGCTGCTCAAAGCAGGAGGAGACTGCATTTTCCCTGCCTCAGGGCTTAGAAGGCAAGCAGGCCAGGGTCCTAGTGGGCCCCTTCTTTGGCTGTGGGGCTCTGTGACGCACTGCCGGGGTCCTGCTGGCATAGGAAGACTTTTGGTCCCTGTGTTCCAAGGACATTTCTAGGCAGATAGGAAGAATTCTGTGTTCAGAGGCGTCACTCTGATCCCTTCCCCACCGCGGACCCGTGCAAAAGTATGTGTTAAGGTTTCCCGAGCAGGTTAGTTTCATAGCCAAGTTGCTGTGGGTTTTACAGACCAAGGGCAGAATCTACCCCCTCCGACTTCACTGGAGATGTATGAATCACAGTGAGGAATTGTGGAAGCCAAAAGTTCTCGTTCACACTCACCTTGACACCCCCCCTCCCACACACACACCTGAAACTCACTGGACGTCCAACAGGACATAAGACAGATTCAACCTGCTGAGAGTTGGTACCGGGAAAAGCAAAGCGCTTCTGCTCTCACCCTGGATACCGATGAGTAGGGCTGCGAACTATAACGCTCTTTTCTGCTGCTCGCAGCCGGTCCGGACCCAGAGCGCGGAAATAGGTGCGCAAGACCGTGAGTTCCCAGACACAGAGGATGAATAAACCGACCAGCTCTAGTAGATGCTTGCCTAGAGCCGGAGTTGAGTATCTCCTCCCAAACCTGCCACCGCCTCTTGCTCGGGAGCAGGACTCTGGCGACTGGCAGCTCGGTCCGCGTTGCGCATAACCGCCGCGGAAGAGCGAGCAGGGACTCTCAGGTAGGGCCTCTAAGTTTTGCAACTCGAGTGGCTGTCCCGGCCCCCGCAATCGGGGCCGGGCTCCAGCAGATTTAGGACCCCGCAGCTCCAGTCGGGCGTGCGGGGGCGGGCCGTGGGGCCCGACGTTGACAGGTGCGCTCCGCGGCCAATGGCGCGGGCCGCCGCCGGCACCTCCCCCGGGCGCCCCCAGGGCCGAGCGCGCCAATCGGCTGCCGCGCTGCGCTTCAAGTGAGAAGAGTTGGGCGCCGGGCTCCTTACTACGGCGCCAGCGACATTTTGCAGTGGGTGCCCAAGGGGCTGGAGGGGCAGTGCAGCCGGGCTCTGCGGAGCCGGCGCGCGGCTGCCTGCGCTACTGAGTTTGGACTAGTGAAAGCGAGTGAGTGGTGGTCGAGCGCAGCCGGGGCCGGTGAGCAGGCGCGACCATGGTCACTCTCGGCTGAATCTCATCAGCGAATCTTTTTCTCAGGAACTACTACTACTACTACTCCTACTAACAACCCCGGGGCTGGGCACGCCACGCTCAGACACTGCGAGCCCTGTCAAGCCACTACTACCTTCCATCAACCCCTGCACGCCGCCCCCAAACGAGCCGATGGAAAAATCAAAAAATTTCCGCATCGACGCTCTACTAGCGGTCGACCCCCCGAAAGCGGCCTCGGCGCAGACCTCTCCACTGGCCCTGGTCACATCGCTCGCAGCCGCCACAGCTGGCCACGGCGGCGGCGGCAGCAGCGGCGGGGCGAGCAGCGCGGGCAGCGGCGGCGGCAGCAGTGCCAGCAGCAGTTGCAGCCCGGCGTCCTCGGAGCCGCACGCGGCCGCTTCCGACTGCCTGCGCGCCGAGAGCCCGTCCCCACCGCGCCTGCTGGCGGCGCACTGCGG